AAGACAATCTGATCAGAAAGCACAGACTTAGTTGGAACTACAGCAGGAGGGTGCCTATGAACCTTCAGCCTTATGTTCTCTCATTTCTATATATATATATATTTTTTCTTTCAAACTGAGGTCCTACGTTCCCACATTTCCTTTATCATCATCAATTTGCATCAGATTTTATCCCAATTTCTTAAGTAAAAAACATATTTCTTCAAGTTGTCTGCACTGAAATGAATCATGGGATATGTAGTTCCCTATGTTTATAAGCTGTTGCTATTATAAAACCATGCATTTAAACAAAGGAACATGTGTTTCGATATATTGTGACACCCCACAATATTATTGTGGGACTTTTCACGATACGATATCACGATATTTCGATTATTGTTACATTCCTATTGAATACAGATGTAATGTAGAGGTCAGGGTGCAGAGGATCCTAGATTGAAATGACTCTGAATCATCCCTTTAAATCTGGTATAAACAATAAAAATGATTTGACTAGAGTTTCATTTTGAGAAAGATCTTAGAAATAACAAAAATCTTAGAAATGAGTGAACATAGGGCTGAGGGAACATAGGCCTGACCCCAACTACAACAAGTGAGCTGTTTTGAGCCTTTAAACACATTTCTCACACATACAATTACAGCTAGTATTATCCAACAGTTTTTCAGTCAGTCACTTTTTGTTAAAAATCTAACAACTGAACAGGACCTTGAACGTAAACCAGACCATGAATGCTCGTGCAACATGTTTGTAAGTGTTTGCTAATTTGTGCATTGTGTCTCCATGGTAACTGGTTAACATTCTGCCAATATACATACATGTAGAACACCCCCAGTGCAATGTCACTGCAAATATATCTACAGGTCTAATTAAGATGATTATGACTTCTCTAGAGATTCACATTAATAACTTTTTCAGTTTTGATACTGGGTATAAATTTTTGGCTTTGAGTATCTGCCAATACCTCACATCTGATACCAGTGAGTGAAATTTATTTCTTTGCATAAAACCTATAAAACTCATCCAAATGTGTTATATAACTGTCGGGGTGGGCGACACTGGCTGTGGTTATGTGCACACTCAAAATCAGATTATGATCAGACTTTTGGAGTTATAAAATTAATAAAATGACATGTAATAAGTTAAATTATCTGATTTCTTTGTGATCATGTCCCCTGTGATTACTCACATCAGGTTTTGCTGTTTGCATGTCATTTAAATAATCTTAAAGTCCCAGAAATCAGATAATAATCAGATTTTGGTTTGCATATCAACAAAACCACTGAGAAAATTGAAGATCTTTTTTTTTTTTTTTTTTTTTTTTTTACTTTTTATTATTCCAATGGCATTATATATTTATCCCAAGGGCAATATTTACTTCTGTTAAGGAAGAGTGTTTATGTCATCTTAAAAGTGCCTGCATACAGTATGTGGTTGAGGGCAAGATTTGCACAAAAAGTTAATGAACTTTCAAATTAAACAAAAACATGCACTAGTATCCCTTTATGACCTTGTTTGGAAGATTACACAGCTATTTTATGTCCTTTTCATTTATAATCAGCTCTTTTTGCAATATTTTTAAATAGTTTTTACAATATGTGATAAATACTCCAAAACAGTAACTTTTAAATCTCCCACAACCTCTTATAACTGTTTATTTATTCTTAAAGTAACCGTGTAACAAAATTGTGCAATCATTTGTCAAGACCACTTTGCGTAATTATTTAGTGACAATGTCCAGTATCATGAAACAAATGAATAGTTAGACTTAAGTGTATCTCTGAATGGGCGACTTTAGCCCCCACGCAGCCATTAGGAGCCCTTTCTGTGGACTCAAAGAGCATTTTGTTGGCCTGAATGTTCCCCAGACACACATGACATCTGCCTCCCTCCCTGTGCATGCCTGCTCCTCTTTGTTCCTGAGAGGGCCGGGATGATGTCACCATTGTGATCATTACTGCGCTGGCGATGTGCTGTGCCCTATTTTTGACCAGGCGTCGCCCTCTGTGTCTGCCCGCTCACTGCCAGGAGCAACAGCGGCCTGCCAGTATTAATTAACACAGAGCCTGTTTTCATCGGGCCTAAAACAGTCTTAAGACCACCCCCGCAGCTCCTATAGTCACACTCTCCACGTACTCTTCAGAAATGGCACGACTGAAAGAGCGCTGGAGCAGTGAAAATTTGTGTGTCGTTTGGAGTCGTTAGCCGAGTTTTTGTTTGAATGTTGTAGCGACGTCGTTCGGATTCCTTAATGTGTCTGAAGGGCCCTTCACTGTGGATTTTTTCAGCAACCACATTAGTGTTATATACAGGCGCTTCAAGGTTAAAGTTAGTGTGAAAAGAAATACTTTTACTTTTTACATGACTCTTTACAGTACACGATTTGCCTTATACTAACATGTTTTTTTTGTTATGTAACTTTTTATTGGTGGGCCTTGATAGTTTTGTTAAGCTTAGTCTTTATTTGAAGGGACAATGTTACATACAGAGACCTTAAGCTCATTAAAAAAAACAAAAACAAAACAGATTTGTTCCCAGTGGTGGGTGGGTGGGTCTTAAATAAAGATGCAGGTACCAGGGAAAAGAAATACTCAAGTAAACGTATCACATGAAAAGAATAATAAGATTCTAATAAAGATTTAAATGTTATGATTTTGAAACTGATTTGTGCTTTGTTCACAAGAAACAATTGGTCAATCAATCAATCAACTGTCATTCAATCTTTTTTTTTTTTGCAGTTTTTATTTGTATATTTTTGTATACTCATGTTATGAATATGTTAAAAAGAAACCCTCAGCCTTTTCAGCAGGTCTCAGATAATAATAAAACACAATTTTCAGTCCAGTTCAAAAGCTAGTGGAGTAGAAAGTACTGCTCTCAAATGTAGTAAAGTAAAAGCAAAAGGAAAGTATCAATACCTAAAATTCATACTACATAGTACAGTGCTTTACTTGTATTTTATGTGTACCACTGGATGTTCTGCACCAGATTCTAGTTAAATAGTTTCCATCTGCAGTCCCTGATTTACAGAAACAAATTATACAATGCTATTACATTCAGTCAACAATAAGAACAATTCACACTGTGCACTCACTGACCCAAACACACTCACAGTCTCACGCATGTACAATACAACCACACATCTCAGCAATGAGCATTAGGTATTTACAAAATCCTAAGTGAGCTTCTTCTTATAAAATACATATTAAAAGACTCATATGTGTGTTATAATGTTGTTTTCTCATCAAAAACATACCTGGAGTTATGTTTTGTTTCATTTACACATGTTTAATAAACACACCCTGCATATTTAGGCCGAGCTCTTCTCTCAAATAGAAACACTTTCTTCCACCTTGTGATGTCATGCGGTAATACAGGAAGTGCTCCACTGTGTGTTTTAAACTTCATACAACTTCACTAGAATCATTTGGATAATTTCAGCCCTGAAACTGTCAATCTCAACCAGAAAGACAAGATAAAATATAGCTGAAAACTATCACTACATGGCACACAAGATGGAACAGAGCATTTTGAGTTTTGGAGATGTAGACAGACTTATAATAAAGAGTTATAAACTGTGTATGTTTTTGATGCGGTAACAACATTCTAACATGGCATAAAGCTCACAAGAGTCAATTTAATGTAATATTTTAATGTAGGACCTTTAACTTACCCTTTTTACATTTCACTATTACATCAGTCCATAACTTTCAAAAAATAGAATAACAATGTTCTCCCGGTGCCACAGTGGTTTTCCTTTGGGCGATATAGTTTAGCTGACATCCAAAAACCTTTTATCAAGCTAGGATGGCTTCAATCAACAGCATTGCATTAGCAGGCCAAATGCATACTTTCTTCATCTGTCTTTATTGACCAGGCACGAACAGTGGAATGTAACGTCACAATAATCTATTTCTAACATAATAAGAGAATATAATAATAAGCTTTAAGAATGATAAATGTGTGTTTGAATTGAATAGATTGAATACATAAATGTACTGAGGGCTGCTTACTTCTGTGGCAACTCTATGAGAAAAAAACACAAAATAAAATGTTGTTCAAATATAGTTAAATTGTTCAATGTATTACTGTATATTACTGACAAGCCTAAAGTGAACTCCATCATATTAACATAGTACAGACTTTTGTAATAACTTACGGTGCCCCAGGTATCGAGCGCGTATTTAATTGAATTGTTTGAATGCTCTCCCATAAGCCATATAGACGAGAGACTGTTAAACGAATCATTGTGCAATCACAATTGGACTCATTAATAAAAGAATGTGTTTCTCTATTGACACCAGAATAATAATGCTTTCATTTACCAGCAATTATTCAAAATGAAACTCACACATCCAGGTGTGAGTGACGCTATGCTAACAGACTTTTGTGTTAACGATCTGACACAGAGGTTCAGAGGAAATCCTTCTGTGAGTTTCAGTGCTGCTACCACAGAGTCATACAGTTTAATATAAGTAATTGACCCATGTACTTTT